ATTATTATTATTGCAAAGACAGCAAGCCTAGGGGATTGCTTTGATCCCTTTCCTCTTCTTCCTATACCCCTGCAGGAGGAAGAGGAGGAAAGTGGGACCCAAGCCATTCTGCAGCCCTGCTGCCTTTGCCAAGGCAGTGGGGCTGGGGGATCGCTTTGATCCTGCTTTGATCCCTTCCCTCCTCTTCCTTTGCCAGACGGGCATAGGAAGAGGAGGAAGGGGGGACCAAGCCATCACCCAGACCCGGGAGTGGGATTCCCTTCAGGCAGGCTTTAGTAAGCTGCCCAAAGGGAAAACCCCTCTGTGCTTATGCCCCCAAGGAACGGCTGACCAGCGGGGGCATAAGCAGATAGGGAAAGAAGGGACAAATATAAAAGGGTTATATTCGTTGCTTCATATTTGTTTGATGTCTCTAGAATACAAAACAATGAATATCTGACAAATCAGGGATATTTGTTAAATATCCTGGTTCATTTTTATATTCATCCCCATGTCTACTCCTCAGCATAACAAAGGTCTTCAGCATAGGCATTATACCTCCCTAGCATCTTAGTAGTTAGAAGTATCCAAGAGAAACATTAGCTTTAGAGAGAGAGAGTGTGTGTGTGCATGCATGTGAGTGTGAGTGACTTGCCTTCCCCTTTGATGCCGGCAGCTCAGTCTATCAATACCAGGGATAGGGAGTCCAGCTCTGGACTCTGTAGGGGCTGAGATAGGGTGTCTGAAGGGGTCATGGGGAAGTAGCAGCTGCATGCAGTGGAGGCTTTTGAGAGGGCCATGGCGGGGGATGGAAAACATGCCTGGCCTTGTTGCCCTGCAGGGGACTTGACGCTACTTGCATGCCCTTGGAAGGGGTGGGAGGTGAGGCTGGCTAGCAGCCCCTGAGTCATCACACTCTGGCAGTCTCCTGCTGTTCTTCAGGAGTGAAGGCCTCCCAAGCCCCAGGAGGAATGGACTTGAGCCTTGTCCCTTTTCCTGGTAGGCATTTTCGTGTAGCTGATCAGCGGGTGGCAGGGATAAGGAAGTTACAAGGTGCATGATTGGCACAGACTAGCTTGTTACCCTGGAGAAAACTCTTCTGTGGGTCATTACCTGTGCTGGAGGATATGGGGAACTGTAAATCCTGTGTGCCTCCCTGTTAAGGAAGCATCCACATATCATCCTTCTGTTTAACATCAGAGAATAGACTGATGGAGGAATTGTGCCTCTGGGCAGGACAGTGAGCAGCATCCTGGCTTCAGTGGAAGCACCACAATAAAATTTTACTTTGTTGTGTAATTTAGTAGAATAAAAGACAATAATCATTCCAATTAAATAAAAATTTAAGCTCACTTGCTGACATCTTTGTAATTACTTAACCAATAAGAATACTGTATATGTTGGAGATACTGAGTCTCAGTGATTTTTCCCCTGGTTCCTCTGGGGCACAGTCCATTTACATGGGAGCAGCAACGCAGGTATGCAGGGAGGAGTCTGTCTCCACAGAGCATCGTTTTCTTTCCCCAGTGCTTGCACGTGGAAGCAGTACTACAGTCGTGGTGGAAGTGGGTGGCCTGTGTGCCCCCTCCTTTTCTGAGTTTTGAAACTGGACCAGGGTTTCTGGCCCTATGCCCTCCGTTTGCATGCAAGATCTGGAGGCAGTGGCAGATTTTACTTTCTTGGGCTCCATGACCACTGCAGATGGTGACAGCAGCCATGAAATTAAAAGACACCTGCTTCTTGGGAGGAAAGCGATGACAAACCTAGACAGCATCTTAAAAACCAGAGACATCACCTTGCCGACAAAGGTAAGGTAAAGTTAAAGGTAAAGGTTCCCCTTGACAATTTTTGTCCAGTTGTGTTCGACTCTAGGGGGCGGTGCCCATTCCCATTTCCAAGCCATAGAGCCAGCATTTGTCTGAAAACAATCTTTCATGGTCACATGGCCAGTGCGACATAGACACAGAACATTGTCACCTTCCCACCTATTTATCTACTCGCATTTGCATGCTGGAGCTCACTCTGTCACGTGGATTCGATCTTACAGCTGAAGATCTACAGATACTGAAGCTGAGGCGCCAATACTTTGGCCATCTCGTGAGAAGAGAAGACTCCCTGGAAAAGATCCTGATGTTGGGAAAGTGTGAAGGCAAGAGGAGAAGGGGATGACAGTCGCCCCAAGTAGACTTTGTCTAGGGGGTCGGGGTAAAAATCTAATAAAAGTAAAAGTAAAGTAAAGAGATGGTTGGACAGTGTCATTGAAGCGGCCAACATGAATTTGACCCAACTCCGGGAGGCAGTGGAAGACAGGAGGGCCTGGTGTACTCTGGTTCATTGGGTCATGAAGAGTTGGACACAACTTAATAACTAAAGAAGAAGAACAACAACAAAGTAGCACACTGTTAATGGCCTTGGGTCCCAGTTTTGAAGCTAGATGGAATATAAACCAATTAAAAAGAGCACTAACTTTAGAATAACTCAAAATAATTTTAAAAAATGATAGTAAGAGTCAGCACATCCAGTCAAATACTTCTCAGTCAATTGCAAAGAGCATTCTTGAAAATAAATTTTATCAATTAAATAATTAAATTAATTTTTAAAAATACTAATGAATCCTGCAGACTTTGTTGAGCTGGTAATATTTTATCTGGGTCAAAGTTTGGAAATAATACACTGACTGAAATTTTGTTGCCTAATACTGTATAGTAAATTGAATTAGAATAAGCCCATTGAATCAGAGGCAGTCTGGTAAATCCTGAATAATTTCCATTGATTCAATGGGCCTACTCTAGTTATGACTCACTTTAGTGTAGCAAATCACAACTCGAGTAGGCCCATTTTACTCACTGGAATGCATGGAAGAGTTGACTCACCAAATCCATTGGTTTAATGGGCCTACTCTAGTGCCACTTATTACACTAAACAGCATTTCAGTCATTAATATTTTGCATTAAACACAAGGGCAAGCAGACTTTGAAAATAGTTCTGAATGTTACATTAAAATGTTACTTTTCAAATGCTACTTTTGAAATATCAGAAGCATCAGTTTTTCCTCCTGCTTGTTTTAAAAGTAATGGTTTATAATGTTAAAGTTAATGAATGTTCAGGTTTGATGTGCGCTACGCAAATGTGCTTCACTCTTTTGTAACTCTCCTTATGCCCAAAACTTCTAACTATTTCCCTTTTTATCAAATGTCTTTATAAAAGTTCGGGTCCTGTTGGCAAAATGCCAGAAAATAGAAATACATTCTGGGCACATTTCCAACTATAATTACGTTCAATTAAGTGACAAAGAAAACGAAGTGTTGCTGAATAATAATTTATTGGGCCATAAATACAAACAAGTGAAGTTGATAATATATATTATATAAATTACTCATAAATTATTCCATTTAGTACTTACATATCAATAAATAAATATTTAGCTAAAATCCATGTTCAGGATTAGCAATATCCCAAAGCAGGAGTATTCCTGCACTTGAAAGCTTATTTCTAAAAACAGTAGTCAGCATAAGGAATGTCAAGTAATATTTCTTTCAGCTTCAGATTTACATTTCAAGTGACATCTGGTAGCTAAAGCATCTGTGGATGGTCTCAGCAAGCTGTTGGAAAGCTAGCAAAAGCTTGCATTGCTTCATGTCCATTTCAAAACTTTCATTTAATATGTCCTGTGGTGAGGAGAGCCGTTGCTCTGAGATCTTGGGTTTTTCAGGTTTCAAAGTCTGACGAAAATGTGAAGAAAAAGATGAATGCAAATTTATACTCACAATGAAACTTAATGCCTTACAGTTTACCATGTTCAAATTGTTTCTATGATTGCAATAGCAAAACATTTAAAAGCCCAAGCACCTCACGCCTTTTCTATGTGCCTCTTTGATTGGAGGGGGCGGCGGAATCTGTTAGCATGCGCAGGCTGGCAGCAGAGTTGGTCAGAGGATAGTGAGACTAGATGCAAAATATGGAAGGAATATCTCTTTTTTTCTTTCTCCCTCTTCATCCCTGTCTAGGAGGATGCTGGGAGGAGGGACAGGGCCACAGGTTTTGGATTCTACCCTACAGTACCGCCAACTATTATTCACCACAATTATTCTGGGGATATAAGCTAGCGTAAACATAATTGTGCAAATTGTGGCAGCAAATTGCCCCTAATTAAACATTATGCAACCATAATGGTGTGTGTGTGTGTGTGTGTGTCCTGATGTTACTGACAAAAACCAAAAGGTCAGTTTATTTTAAGCCAGAATCCAAACCACACTGAAAACATGCAGCTTTTCTGAAAGGTTAACAGTGTTTTATGGAGCTTTCCAGAAATGCTAGTAGTCGTGTTAATTTCCTTATGTCCACTTTAGGGTTATCTTTTGGACATTCTCAAGCTATAACTCTGTATAGTGTTCTTGGAAATTATATTGCTTAGCATCTGTGAAGGTTCCTGAACTTTGACAGAAGTTGTCCTGTGCAATCTGGATTTCAGTTCAAATCAAGATTACAAAGCAGTTGTTGTTTTTCAAGAATGAGGTGGTGATGGCTTGCTGCCCCTTCTATTGGTTCCAGAGGTCTATCTCCAGGGACCCTTTCTAATATGAAAAGTAAAGGAAATATTAATGTTACCCATTAGAGATAGTCACGAACCTTGGTTTATGCTGGTTCATACGTATGTTCCCTTCCCTCCCTACCTGGAGTGTATAGATATGGACATGGGAGTGGGGTATGTGTGCATGCATATATAATCTCTATAAACTAACTTGTTTGGTTTAGTGGGGAAGGAAATTTTCAAAGCAAATGCTTGTGCTTTCTGATTTTGTTTTGGGAAGGCAAAGTTGAAAAGAAATGGGGTTGTAGTTCTCAAGGAAGCAGGAATTTAGGCCTTAATCATCTTTATCTAGCAAGAGATTTCAATGTATTTATAAAGGGAATATTGGGAGGGCAAAACTTTGTAATGTGGATTATGTAGTATATTTCCATTTCATTCCACAGTTTTAAAGGTTTACCCTTTTCAGCTCTTGGGCTTGTATTTTGGACTCCACCAGACAAGATTTGGGGGAAACAGTAACAATTTAGATTCATGACTCTGAGAATATAAAAACTTTGGGACACTTGCTGGCACTTGGAATATAAGGTGCATGCAAATGAATGAAGTATCCAGCTTGTGATGCATTGAATTGTTGTTGCTAATTTGTGTTTTTTTAAAATGCAAATAACTTGTAAAAATATAGAAAATATTCAAATCCAGTGTAATGGTTTCTTTTAAAGAAAGCTATGTACCTTCATCATATGATAGATAGCATTCGAAAGATCTGGGTCATTGATTTCCGCTGCATAGGCATTCAAAATGTTATAGATGGTATTTATACAGGCAGCCTGCAAGATATACAACACTGATTTAAACACATGGAGGGATGCTGGAAAGGAAGCACAAAATAAATGAGAAATACACTTGCAACTATCTAAGGATAGTGATTTACCTCATCAACAGTGTTGTTTTCTTCTGAAGAACAGGAGCCAGGCTGAAATCAAAGATTCCAGAAGGGAGACATTAATTCTGTTACACATTTATATGTTGGAAATACTAATAGCTTTCTTAAAAAAATATATTGTCATACCATTGATTTTCCTGCCATACATGCTTTCCCGATCTTCTCTTCATTCTTAGGATTTTCAGTGGGAATATTGTGCAAAATACATTGAAATCCTTTCTGTACAGATGAAAAGATCATACATTAAGGGAATACCAGTAGTGTTAATGCTAAATAGATGAGGGACTGTGATGCTCAATTATTACTTCTTGGCTGTGGCTACTGTCAGTTATTCAAGGAGCGCAGAATGGCTTAGATCAAGTGCAGAGAAAGAACAAGTGAGTGACACTTTCTTCTCTGATGGTTGTTGTGTTTTTTTTGGGCTCTTTGGCCGTGTTCCGAAGGTTGTTCTTCCTAACATTTTGCCAGACTCTTTCTTCTTTCTCCTCTCTTGTTTGTTAATTTACAAGCTGACCTTGCACTGCCATCAGGTCACTCAGTTTTGGTCTCCACATCTAGAAACGTGCATATAGCACTGTGACAGGTTGCATATGTGCTAAACTTGGAATACTATAGGAAAATGTGGGAAACAGAGGTACAATGTGCTTCTGTTTCTGCCCCATCTGCATATGTTGAGGTCTCTGAAGCAGATCACACAAAACATTTCATGTGGAATCAAACTGGGTTGATTCTCACTCTGTAATCCAATACAGTAATGTAAGGTGTACAACTCCAGATGTTGCTGGATTGCAATGCCCATCAGCCTTAGGCAATATAGAAAATGTTGAAGGATGATAAGAGATGCAATCAGCAACATTGGTGTTGGGGAAGGAAGCATTACGTATTCCCCAGTCCTGCTACACTTTGAAGGTGGAAGCTTAAATCACCTTGAATCAGTTATTCTTTTTTGAATAACAGGAACTTTGTATGAGCTACATAAAATGGTAACTGTTTCAATGTATTATGGAAGGCTGCTTTGAGAATGAAAAGGCAAGTTCATTTCCATATTGGCAACAAGTGAATGGCCAGACAATGCGCCTCAGCAGGAAAAAAAACACACTACATTAACACAATGATGATCTCATTTACGGTGCAGTCTTAACTAGCCAAGATGGTGGAAGCTGGTTGAGTTGACACTAAGTGAGCTGGGACTGTGCTGAACCCAAACCTCTCCCAATCCAGGGATTCTGGAAATGACATAGGATCCTGACCCTACATACCCAGTGTGATGTAGTGCAGCTGATCTTGACAGGGGTCTTTAGCTCCTGGCACATTTGAAGTGGGTCATGGATGCATCTGTTTGTGTTGTATCCTTGCTTGCACATAGCCAAAGGCTTTCCTTGTTCAACAAGGGGCCACAGAATCCAAGAAGAGTTCCTAAAAGCCCAGCTTGACACAGGTGAGACCTTCTCCTGATTGAATTTTCCATTTATTACACCAGTAGGAAATTTCAGCAGTTCTCTCCTGTCAAATTGTTCATTGAATTACAACTATTCATCTGTTTTTGCTCTGTAGGTTTATCAGAGATCTGTTCTTGTCTCTTTACTGTTCTGTCTATGCACACTTTCTCATTAGATCCCCCTGCTTTTTGCACTATCTGGATAGTGACGACAAGCAGAGGTTGGAAAAATAACACTGAACGATAAGTGCTATTAAAGTCATTTTTCCAGGTTCTGACATACACCCTCATCAGACTCATCAACAGAGCTTGAAAAATTTTTAGAATGTCTCACCAGTCAAAATTTCACCAGTCAGCATGACCGTACTATAGCCTTGCAATTTATTGAGTTTGGGAATCACTGACTTTAATAACTACAAACTTTAATAAAACTGAAAGCAAAAGTGCCTGGCCTCTTAAGGAGCCACTATTCCCTCCTCGTTTGGTTGAAATTGGGAGCAGGATATCTTCATATTCTCCAGCATGGGACTACTTTAAATTTTCCTGCAGAGCTATATCTCTATGTGCTGCTTGAACTCTCTTCTCAAGAGAAGTGGGCTGTTTTTCTTTTCCAATGGGAGGGGGAGGGGAAGACTGCAGGATTAGAAAGAGAAAGAGAGATGGGTGGAGGGTAAGGAAACAGGGAGGGAGGGAGCTGTGGCTCGTCAAGCAGCATTTTTCACTCATCACAGACGAGTGCATTTTTCAAGCCCTGCTCATCAATATCCATTCAATCCTGCCTTTTCAACAGCTTTTCTGATATTTCTGCATGAATACCTTATAACCATCTCACTATGCTCTGGTCCAAATAGAAGATATTTCTCTCAACCTATCCTCTTGGCTATGTTTATATTTCATGCTAAGGCAGGGTTGAAATGGAATGACTTGGTGGTAAAATCCACTATCCAAAGCTCTCTAGAGGCAGGATTATATCAGGGAATATGGTGGCCTCTTTTCCTTCCTTGGTGGCAAGCCTTCACTAAGTGTTGGGTTGGCAAGGAGCTTCCTGGGTGCTAAATTCCAACCCTACATAAGGACAGATAAGATCTAGTAGCTAGAGATTCCACTCCTCTGTATTAAACCATGATTTATGATAAACATACTTGAGTTCCAAATTCAGATGTAACAAGAAGCCAGGGTTTAAATGATCCAGAGTTTGAAAGAAAATATCAAACATGGTTTGTAACTAAGATTTTTAGCTGTTCAGGTAAACGTATGGCTTGTGAGGATAAGCCAGAATGCAGCAAACTACAAGCTTGCTTACTGTCTTTTGCAAACGCGGCTCCCATATCCTTTGAAGACCCTGCTGAATCAGGATAAAAACTTGCTTTGATTTCCATTTTTCCTTTTACAGGTATTTATTGAAACACGGTATCCTTTTATATGGAATAATATAAAAGGATATGGTATTTCTACCCATGCAGGTTTTCAAGCAAACTGAAATGAATAACACAAAAGCAATTTTAAACCAAAATTGAAAAATAAAAGCAACAACACCAAAACTGATAACCCAAATAGATATGCTACCGAGCAAGTCAAAAGGTGATTGAAATAACCACATACCTGTATTCACCTGACATCTGAAGGTAGAAAGGAAAGGAGCTGAACACTGCCACCAAAAACATACCAAAACCATACATATTATGTGGCATCTCTTTGTAAATCCCCACTGGTGCTTTCTACAGAGTTCTATGCTCAGCCCACACTGCTTGCTTTCTCCTTCTGTGCTCTCTGTGACCATGCCTCCTTCTCTCCCTTCTTCATCCTATAAAACTCTCTTTGTGACTTTCCCTCCCTCATATCTCTCTCACATTCTTCCAAATCTTTCTTCAAAACTCAAGTTTTTCTCTACAGACTGTGGGTTAACTTTTAGTTTTTGATCCCAGGCACTAAATCTATGTACATGTAACTGCATTTATATGCATGTTCCAACCCACCCCTGCAACCTTTCACTTGTCACAGCAATACATTTAAAGGGATGGTTTGACTTGTTTGAAATCACTGCACTTGACATGATTCCATTGAAAAACACTGAATTCAAGAGCATATGAAAGCTCTGTTTGTGATATTTTATCTATGAAGAACCATTCACAGATCCAAGCCACCACCTGACCCTTGATGTCACCCAGTCAATAAATTATCATTTATATTTTGTTAATACAGGCTTCCTGTGCTGTTATGAAGCCCAAATGACAATATGTACCCCAAACGCCATCCATATAAAAGGAGGTGGTATGAATGGGTTTTGAGGAAAACCCAACATTTGCAATAATTGAAAAAAAAAGGGGTGGACTTCCAGGAAACCCCCTAAGATAAGGTAAGGATTGGGAACCTACTCAAAACAGCACAGAATGAAACCTGCTCTGTGCGCATGCAATGCTGACTCTCAGATCACAGAAGAAGACAAAGAAACAGGAACAGAATGGAGTGGAGAAGCTGAAATTCTGAAGAGGAACGCTCCACACTGCAACACTGTGTCACAGGACTTACTCATAATGAAGATTGTATCCATTTACAATGCACACTATTCTGGTTCACCTTACTACAAAGGAGAGCTGTTGGTAACACAGAAAAGGAAACCCAGTGATAAGAGAAATGTAGAGAACTCTCTGTTTCTAGAGGTAACTTTTGAGTCATCATTTTTTCCCCTTAGGTTTCAAATACGATGGCAAGGAATAAGATAAAGGCTTATAAGATCAGCATCAGAAGGGGATGAAAAAAGGGGCAAAGGGAGATTTCTTTTCAAATAATTTGAGCCCATAACTTACTTCTGACACAAGCTAGCAGGGAAGATCTTCTTCACACATTTTGTAGCTTATCTATAGAGCTAAATATTTTCTTTTTGATTGGTCCCATTTTTTAAAGTACAAATGTTGTTGAAAATGATAAGGATTGCAATTCTGTGTACACCTTTACTTGAAAGTAAGCCCATTAGAGCCTGGAAATGCTATTTGGGATCGTCACCATCCAAAATACCCAGCCAGCATGACAGCCATGCTAGTGGGGGATTCTGGAGGGCCACAGTCCAAAAAAATAAAAAATTAAAAAATTAAAAAATAAAAAAGCAGTGTTTCCAAGATATGCATTAAATACTATGGTTCTTTGGAATAAACAGGTCACTTTACCACTCAAAGCCAATACTCAACGCAGCGTCCAAACGGACGCACACAGTATCAAAATCTATATGAGCAGTTTTGGCAGCAGGAGTCTGAAAAATCCCTCCAGCGCCTCTTTGAGGAACTAAAAACGCAAGAGCAACAAATTTAAGAGTGGTTTTTCCCCCCTCTCAGACACCCTAAAGCTGCTGAGAGAGGTGACCGGCGCCTCTCTCGCTTAATAAACACACCTAGAGGAAGGCAGCCTCCAGAAAAATAAATAAATGCTGGAGTCAGAGAACGTGGTCACGCTCTCCCAGTATCTGAACTTCGTTCTCTGCCCGCTGGATGGTTTTCCAAAGATGCCAGACACAGGACAGCCCTGAGCCATCCACCTGTGCATTTTCATTCCCCCCCCCC